GGACTTAAATGGTGAGGGTGAAGGTGGGTCACAAGTCCAGAGTTTAGCTCCTGGGAGACCTTCTTCCAAGGCCTGGGGGCCTATAAATTCCAAATTCTAGACTTACAGGGATTTTAAAGTTGGGAGCAGCTCTGTATAGGAGGGAAGAGGTGCTGCTATCAGGAACTCAGAGAGGATTTTTGGAATCTGTTGGGACTGTGTTCGAATTCCAGTTATGTGACAGAGGCCAATCAGTTCTCTCTCTCTCTGCATCTCAGCTTTCTCATCTATAAAATGGGAATCTAATAAAAATAAAAATAACAAATACTTGTAGAATGCCAACAAGATGTAAGACTCTATTTTAAGTATTTAATATATATTAATTTAATCTTTACAACAATATTGTGAGTCAGGAATATTATCGCCATTGAACAGATGAGAAAACTGATTCTCAAAATATTAAGTGATTTGTGCAACATCACAGTGTTCGTACACAACGAATATGGGACTTGAGCCCAGCAGTCTGGCTGCAACATCTGTGTTTAACCACTGCAATACTTCACAGCAGGCCGGGCGCGGTGGCTCAAGCCTGTAATCCCAGCACTTTGGGAGGCCGAGACGGGCGGATCACGAGGTCAGGAGATGGAGACCATCCTGGCTAACACGGTGAAACCCCGTCTCTACTAAAAAATACAAAAAACTAGCCGGGCGAGGTGGCGGGCGCCTGTAGTCCCAGCTACTCGGGAGGCTGAGGCAGGAGAATGGTCTAAACCCGGGAGGCGGAGCTTGCAGTGAGCTGAGATCCGGCCACTGCACCCCAGCCTGGGCGACAGAGCAAGACTCTGTCTCAAAAAAAAACAAACAAACAAAAAAAAAAACTTCACAGCAGGACTGGATAACTACCTGAACCTTGGGTGGTAAAAAAACAGCTTAACAACATGTGGTGGTTTTAAAACCTGTCTGCAAACTCTTTGATACTCCTCCATCAAAAGGCAAAATCTAGGTCTCCTCCCTTTGAAAGTCCGAGATAAACTGTGAGACAGACTTCAAGAATTAGGATGCAGTGAACGGGATGCTATGAAACTTCCAAGGGTGGCTTAGGAAAGACCTTTGGCTTCTGCTGGTCTCTCTCGGGATACCTGCTTTGGGAGCCTTCTCCTGCTGCGTGAGATCCCTGGCTACCCTGGAGAGACGTCAGACAACAGGTGAGACGCCCGAGAGCCCTGGCTGTCTGTGTCTTTGCAGCCCAAGCTCCAGACATGTACTGAAGAAGCTTTAGGGATGAATTCAGTCCCAGCTACTCCCTGGTTACAACTATAAGACAGACCCTCCCAAGTAAGAACTGCCTAGCCAAGCTCAGGCAGCTCCAAGATTTCAGGGCAAAATAAAAGATGGTTCTATCTTTAAGCTACTGTTGGGGTGGTGTGCTATACGGTAGTAGATAGTCAGAACACAACATTTACTTTACAATAGTTGTAAAGTAAGGAATGAGGAATCACTGAAAATGTAGATGTCGAGCCCCTGGTGGGGACTGCCACCTCGCTTTCCCTCATTCCTCTGCACTCTCTGGGTATCCTCACCAATACCTCTTGTCTTAAAACAGAAGCGACTCATACACAAGTTCCATAGCCACCTCCACCAGACTCTGGAAACCAGTGTCGTGGATTGCAGCTTTCTCACCTGTGACTGGTGATCTTCACAGCTCTTTAAAAAACAAAAACACTGCACATGATGCTACCACATGGAGGCACTGGCACGTATAGACAGGGAATTATCGGCACCTGATGTCATTCCAGAAAAGCTCCTGGAACTTACACTGGGCACGCTCTGTTGCTGACCTCTCTTCCTTCCCTAAGTACGCATTAGGTTCACACTGTGCCAACTTTTCCTTAGATTGTGGTTTTGTGCAGGTAAAGGCTTTAGCTTTATTTTATTCTTCCGTGCATTTTGTGGATTTCATCACTGAGACAGAGAATAATGCATATTAGAGTATAATGAGGGAGCCACAGGCCTATCTGAGGGAAGAGAAGTGGAAAATGAAAGAATAAAAGGAAATGTAGAACAGAATAAAGAAAGGCTAAAGAAAAGAAAGAAAGGCATAGAGAGGAAGAAACAATCAGAAGGAAGAGAGAGAGAAAAGATAAAAACGTGGAAGGCAAATGAAAGGGAAATGAGAGAAAGACAGGACAGGGCTTAAGATGAAAGACAAAATGCAACAAGGAGAAAGTGGCCATTTCATTGTGACTGCTCTGCCCTCAGTTGAATCCTGCAGCCGGGGAGCCTGGAGGCTGCAGTCCCCAGATCTGCCCACTGCACTTGGTGCCAGGGCTGGCCTCGCACACATAGCTCTTGCCTGCAGCTCAACACCCTGAGCTCCTTAAATAGCTTTGAACCGCACTGAGTGGTGGATAAACATTTGTTTCACAGCTCACAAAGCAGAGCTGCTGGCTACCAGCAGGTTTGATGTAATGAGTTCCATTCTGGACCCCGGGGAGCATTTAGAATGGGCTCTTCTTTGCCCAGGCTGCCAGTCAAGCTGGTACCAGGGGGAAAGAAAAAACACAACACTAATCTCTTCCCCACCATCCCTGTCCAGATTTGGAGTCCCCAGAAACCAAAGTACTCCATTCTCAGGGGATGGGATTAAGGAGCAGGGTGCCCCAGGAACCTGAAATGTGAGTGCCAGAAAGGGTGGCTGGATAACCTCCTTTTTACGCATCCTTAGGAAATTACTTGGACTCACGAGCAGTCCAAAATCCACTCACTTCTCAGGAGCTGAGAATTGCAGACAGAGTCTCTGGTCTCATCCCCTCTCTGCTTGCTCCACACAGCCTTCTTCTGCAGCTGTGGAGCTCAATTCTTAAGAAAGGAGATAGCAGTAGAACAGCCTGGCATTGCTGCCCTTGGTTGGCAGCTGCCCTCCTTGACCCCTGCTCTCTACCACCCAGATCGTGCCCAGAGCTTCCTGTTTACCTCTGTGCTCAGAGAGCCACAGTGCCCTGCGTTTTGACCCCCAGTCCCATCACAGCAGGGGAGGGAGGGTGGTGGGCAAAGGGCTGCTGATCCTCCTGTTTGTTTCCCCTTTCCTCCCAAACTTCCCACTCCAGGACAATATGACATGCCGCCGGAAGGAGCTGAAGACCAGTTGATATGATGAATAAATGGTAATTATGCGGTTGGCCTTTCGGCACTTCCTCTGTGGATATTAATAGCCATTAATGCCCTGCTGTTTTGCACTGCACCAGAGTCTGCCAGACAGAGCACAGGGCAGGTCACTGCCCCAGCCCTGTGCTCATGCCCCCCCACCAGCACTGCCTCATTTGCTTCAGAATTTCAGGAAGGAAATGAACTAGCAAAGACAGTGGGTAGAAAATTAAAAGGGGTGAAAATAAATCCAAAGGGGAAGTCATTTAGATTTCCAGGCAAATTGGTTGTTGAATTGGCTTCTTGGACTGTTATGATTGGAATCTCCTAGGGGTCATCTTGTCTCTTTCCAGATTCCAGGCAGGAGTCACCATGAAAACTTATATCCTTTTCCTTAGAGTTCCTGGGGCTGAGAGAAATTGTCAGATGAGTACAGAGGCAGACTTGAATTTCCCCACCAATGCAAGCTGGGCAAGAGCAGAACTGACCAGGCTTAAATGGCAGAAGTGTAGACAAACGTGGACAGCCTGAATCCTACCATTCTTTGTAGCAGCAGCATAGTGTACGGAAGGAGCATAGGCCTTGGAATCAGAGCCTGGGGTTAACCAGCTGGCCCTACTACCTGCTAGTTCCACACTCTGGACTACAGGAGATAACAAAAAGAGTGTAGCCACAGCATGAGAAGACTTAACCTTATTGCTGTGTGACCTTGGGTAACTTACATACCTTCTCTGGACCCTACTTTTCTCATCAGAAAAAAAAATTCCTAGAACAGGACAGTATATAATAAATAAATACTAGTTCTTGTCGAGTAGTGTGTTGGAGCTACTGGTATGCCTCCCTTCCCAAATTTGTGTTCAGTGACATCACATTGGTAGCCTGAAATTGGCCATGGTAGGAATATTTACACCAGAGAAATTGGTAATGCTACAAATTAGGTCTATTCCCACCCCCACCCTGCTTAGGAGAACTGATTGTTCAACAGATACCAGCAAACGGCTGTTCCTGCCTATTTCAGCTGTTTGGAATAGTGGGGTCTTAGAGCATGTCCTTGGGCTCCTGAAAGCCACAGACCAGCCCTTTGGATGATCTATTTGCCTCCCATACACCTCAACAAACTGTTCACTTCAAACAGGGATTGTCAAAATCTCCTTGAGGCCCTATTAGAAAGCTGCAGCTCCTTGATCTATTCAGCACCAAGAGGCAATTGTCGAGGAAGTTGATTGTAGTTCAAATCCAGGTATCAATTCAAAATGTTTTTGCCTCAGACAACCGCGTGCGATCAATCAGTAATGTAATCCTCTGCTGGTAGAACACAAAAACAAAGCCCCACCTTGCCTCGTAAACACAACATCATTAGTCTTAGGATAAACTATAAATTGATGCATAGAGCAAACAGCCAGAGCTGTGTCCCAGGGAATGGGAGCAGATGAAATAGCAGTACTTTATGGTGAATGACAAATCATTGCTCGTTCCGTTCCCTATCAAGTGGAACACCATCAATCACATGGTGGACTCGTTGGGTTCCAAGACAGATAGGACACCACGAACAGATGCTATGGCTGGGACTGCTGGCCTGGGCAGTGCTGTACTTTTTGCTTTTCCTGGAGGGGAAGAAGAGACCAATCCACTTTCTGTATGGTCCTGTCCTTCATTCAAGTTTATAACGATGAGTAAGTCAAGGAATCCCATCAATCATAATGTCCTTGAGAATGCAAACCTTCATCCTTTTCATGTTGCACAAAGTCCTGTTTGAATGGCAAGGGAAAGGCCAGGCTTCTGACCAAAGAAAGAAGGAGCAGAGGACAGATCAACTGCTTTTTTAATTTCAGAAAGTCATTAAAATCCTGTCTGTCCTCATATAGTGACTCTCAATCTCTGGGTCTGCCATAGTGCCTGTAATCCAACCCCTTGGATCACTCTTTTATATTAAGGTATTATGTTCAAAAGGAGCATATTACCACGTGCATCCCAGCTCCAACACAATGGGTCATTATCTGAGCACATAATAGGTGCTCAGTATCTATCTTCTAAATGGATAAATGAAAGGATGGATGCATGATAACACACAGTAGGTAGTTTGGATGGAAGGAAAAGAGGAGCAGGAAAGGAGTGAGAGGTATGATTATAAAACTGACATTAGAGTAGGTGACACTGCTTTCAGGGACAGGAGACTGGAATGGGTGATCCAAAATGAGGAAAGGTGATGTAAGAGGGAAAATAGGATGTCCTTGAAGATAATACCCATCTCTTTCTAGTGTTTCCTAGGGCCAGTTGGTTTTTAAGCAAAGCATATTGAGGGAATAAAAATCAAAGCCTATCTCTATTCTAATGGGAACATGAGGTAAGGAGGAAAAGTTAGGTGGTTGTGATTGGCTGTCGCTCATGAATAATCCCACAGGCCCTATTTCTGGCCTTCTGCCATTCATGGGGTCAGGGAACTGAGAAGCAGTGGAATCTTTCTGACTGCTGATTTAATTAAGTGTGGCTAGTCTGTGACAGAGGCTGACTCGGCACCAAGCCAAAGTCACAGGGGAGTTGGTCATGTCATTGATGGGTGAGTCCAGCCTCATGTTTGACCAAATCAACCAGTCATTTGGGATATCTGAAGACTTATGGTTAGCAATTGATCCTGCTATGGTGCTGGAAGTCACTGGTGATTTGGTTAAAACTCATCGATAGATAGATGATAGATAGATAGATAGATAGATAGATAGATAGATAGATAGATAGATAGATAGACAGACAGACAGACAGACAGACAGTGAAAACATACTGACTGATTCAGGCAATCTGACAGTCTGGGGTAGCTACAACTTTAGTGAAACCAAGTATTCGACATTATGTAGTGAAAACCATGTTTGACTTACATCTTTTTTCACTTCACCTAGTTGTTGTGGACATTGTGCTGACACACCTAAGGGTGGTTTGGAAACAGTTGGCATGTTTTCTTTATGTATTTTTCACCTTTGCCATCTGTAACTGGGAAAGGGTATCCTTCCTCCTGCCAGTTCTCCCCAGCTGAAGTCTACACAACCTTTACCCAGACATCAGAAACAGCTGTCTCAGGCAGAAGGCGCTTGACTCCAGGTGGGCGCTCAGCAGCAAGGGCAGGTGAGATAATGAGCAACAATAAAGTCCTTTTCAAGGAGGTGGGAGTCTGTTGGAGAGGTGAGCTGGTTAGCATATGCTGGCCCCTACTTGGCTCCTAGCATTTGTTCTTCTGTGCAGCTTGTTTCTCAGTGTGATATCAGATTTACTCTTCCTTCTCTTCCTCCTTTCCTGCCTTCTTTTTTCCCTTCATTTACTGTGCATGACACTGTGCTTGATGCCACAGAAGAGTCAAAGATGATGCAGCTATCACCCATACCCTCAAGGAGCTGGCCACACTCTACCTAGAGAAAAGGTAAATCAAATGCAACCATGTTGCTAATAATAATAATAAATGAAGAAAAGATAAGAAGAGATTAAGCATTTGGAGTTCAGGAGAAAGGAAGTAGATGTGTATTTGGGCTTCATAGAGGAGATAAATATTGTACACACATGGGCCTAAAAGGACAGGTGGGATTAGAATGGTTTCAGTGCATGTTGCCATCTAGAAAATTTTATGTGGGGGAAAGGAGAGAATAAAGATGTAAATGCAAAAATAAATTAGAGTAGTGTAAAGAAGTCAAAAGTCCTGGAGAGAAAATACGGGTAGGTGGGTAATAAGAATAACACTTTTGCCCTGACGAAACAGTGGCAGAACAAAGAGGGTATCAGATGCCAGGTTAAGGACGTTGGACACATTTTGGCCATCCATTGGGAACCATGGAAGATTTCTTAGCAGTTTATGATACTTAAATTTATCTTTGATAAGAATAATCTTGCATCTATGTGTAAGGTAGTTTGGAAGGGGGCAAGATAGACAGTAGATAAAAGTTAATAGATACGAGTCAGAACATGGCAATAAAAAGCTCGTGCTAAGGCAATCATGAGAAAGCCATGATGGGACAATGCTGGAAAGCAAGTCTGTTTGGAATAAATAGGACATGGTTCTAATAACTACACACTAAGATGAGGGGTGAAGAGTCAGAAGTCACTGCAGCTTTGTGCTTTGATATTTGGTTGAGTGACTTGGGAGAAAGGATGCTGATGGTGTCAATCTCCCTTTGATCCACCTCTGACTGCAGCACAGCTGTAATGGAGAGTCCCACATGGCCTCAGACTCACCCAGCACTTGACCTGAATCCCACCTTGAGGTCCTCTGTGCTTCTTTCCACATTGTGCCCTAGGACCTTCTTCAAAACCTAGGAGATTGCTTGAACTGCCCACAGATTAGCTTGAGTGTAGGGGACATAATGCCCTGGGAGACTCCCAGCTAACGGGGAATGGGATCAATGCTGCACCTTCAGTCCTTCAGAAGAACAATTGAAAGCATCTGTCAACTTCTCAGGAGGTCCCAGTGGAATGGAGGCTCCATTGCCCACAGCACTGATCCTGATGATGTTCCTCACATCAGTGCTTCCTGCTCCTGACTAATTCTCCCTGCTCACTCACTGTTACATGCTGGGATCACCTCCCATATGAACTACCTGCACCCATTTCTTGCCTCAAGTTTTGCTTTTGGGAGAACCCAGGACAGACATAAAGGTGTAGCTCTTCCTAAAACAAAGGTAATTGAGTCCAGAACTCTAGAGAGATGCTGGGGTTTGAGATATTTATTTCTCAATCATCTACATGGACAAGGTAATTGAAATTAGGGAATTAAATACAATTGTCTAGGGGAGAGAATATGGAGAAAAAAGAGAGAAGGGAAGAAAATCAGACCTTGGAGAATTTTCCATCTGGTAGATGGGAAGATAACAAGCAACCAATGCAGTAGACAGAGAATAAGAAGAGCAGAGAGATAGTTGTGGCAAAAGTGAAGGGATCCTGAGAGAGACCATCTGAGATGAATGCTGTAGAGGCCCAAGGAGGATGTGGCATTTAGAAAGTCTTTGAAAACCTTGCAAGAGTGATTTTGTTGGTGACAGTGAAAGCCAGTTGCAAGTGTCAATGAGGTAAGGAAGTGGAGGCCCAGAGCATGGATTGGAGGTCCCTAAACCTGGCTTTTTGGGTGGCATCAAAAAATGCCAACATCTCACAGTGGACTTTCTGAAGTAGCATCTCCATAGAGAAGGGCTTCTGTCTCAATTAGATTGAGGGGAAAGAGAGGTAAAGTGATAGTTGGATAGCTTGAGGTATCAAGGCACAGAGAGGTGTTAAGAGTAAAAGAGAAATAGAGAAGATGTATCCAAGGTGGAGAGAATTAGTCAGTGGAAAGGAAGATGTTAAAGATGCAAGGTGATGGGGAAAATGTCTGGAGAAGGACTCAGAGGAGAAGGGATCAAGAACATGACTTTCCTAAGTTTAGTTTTAATAAAGAAGATTCATTCATTCACCCATTCAAGAGGCATGGGCTAGGTTCCTCTGTGGGAGGGCACTTTGCATAAAGAAAGGGCAAGTTATGGCCACTTCCCTGTAGGAGAGAAAGAGGTAGAAAGAATCAGTAGAAAATTGTTAGATTCTAGGATAGAAACATTTGTGGTATTTTGAATAGTAACTCTGACCACATACCCACTGAGACACTCAGGAGAAGGTAAATTCCCAGGGCTTCAGTTTTCTCAACTTTAACCGCCACTCCTCTGGGTTGCTACAACAATCACACAAGAACATTGTGCTAATGTGCCCAGCACAGTGATGAACACACAGTAGGCCTTCCAGAGAGCTTAGTTTTCTTTATTTTGGAAGCAAAATACAATGACACTGCAGAGGAAGAAATGTTTTACTCTGCTCCAAGGGCTAGGTAAAGCTTTCCAGAAAAGCTATTACTCAAACTAACTTGGAACTGAGAGAGGGAAAGAGAGAGGCCATCTGAAAATTTGGGAATCATTGGAGCAAAGAGCAGGGCAACTGGGGAAGGTAAATCAGATGGCTCTTGTCTTCCAATAAACAGAAAGCAAGGTTGTCATTTAAGGGTACGTAGCACGGGCTACATTGCATCCCTCCCCTGCCAAATTTATATGTTGAAGTCCTAATCCCCAGTACTTCAGAATGTGACTGTATTGGGAGACAGAGCTTTTAACAAGGAAATTGAGGTAAAATAGGGCATATGAGTGAATGAGCTTTAATCTAATAGGACTCACTACAAGAAGAGGACATTAGGACACAGACATGCATTAGGAGAAGGTAGCCATCTGTTAGACAAAGAGAGAGGCCTTGGAAGAAACGAGCTCTGCCAACACCTTGATCTTGGACTTCTAGCCTCTAGAACTGTGAGGAAGTAAATTTCTGTTGTTTAAGGCTTCGGTCTGTAGTATTTGCTACAGCAGACCTAGCCAACTCACACAGTAAGGGTGTGGGATAGCAGCAGATTGGAGAGACTGAGGAAAATGAGGATAGTGTGGAAGAGTTCTGATGGGAAGGTCAGTTAAAGCTAAGGAAATGGTTCCCGAAGAGATGGTGGCCCAGCTCACCTTATAGATTGTGGGTGGACCCATAACTTTTTTTCTCCTGCAGTGTTTGCTAGGGCAGCAGGTTGAACCTGGGCTGTGTTTGGGTTCTGGCACCAAGGGACTCACGGGTCAGGAGAGTGGGAACTTCCAGATTGGCTGAGGGCAGGTGAAATGACTGGCCAGAGGCACAGGCTCAGGGAGACAAATGAGGCCAGAGAGGACATGCTACTCTTCTTAATCTAGGAGATTAAGGAGAATTCTGGAAAGGGAAAATAATTGGATGATTAAATGTGAGGGAGTGGGAGTTTGGAAAGGACAGAAAGACTGTATCACAGAAGGGTAGTGGACTTGGAGGTATGCTCCTGGTTTAAAAATAATGGACAGAACTTTGTCATAACATGAGAGGACAGAATAGAATGGTACAGTGTGAGATTTCCCCATGGAGAGTTAGGGTAATGGTATTCTCCAGCTTCCAGGGGTCTGTGTTTTAACAGCAATGTACTTCAACATCCTGGATTGAAGCCTTCATTGTTGGGTGGATATGTGAGGCCTTGGGCCCCTAATGTCTTGCCTAAAATTATTATGCTTTAGTGGGGCTAGAATCTACGTCTCTTAATTTCCAGTTTAGGACCCTTGACAACACTGTTCCCATCAGCAGGGCCATGGTAGTGAGGGCACTGGCACCCTCCCTCCACAGAAAGATCACGTTTAAGAGCCATTTTCTCACCCCCTCTCTGGGATGAAGCCCATGAATTCACAGAACTCGTGACCAGGCAGGTGAGACTATGAACCACATGATAGAGCTGCTTCTTAGACTCTCACTCTATGGCCCAGACCTGACTATAGCCCCAAAATCATCCCTAAGTGCTTGGAGAGGAATGGAAGGAAATGGGAATTAAATATCTTGGGAATGTCATCAACCCAGGCCATTTTCTGTCAAATCTCTGCTTTAGGTGATTTTCTACATTTTTCTTAAAGATATTCACATGGCTCACACCTGTAATCCCAGCACTTTGGGAGGCTGAGGCGGGCAGATCACGAGGCAGGAGATAGAGACCATCCTGGCTAACACGGTGAAACCCTGTCTCTACTAAAAAATACAAAAAAATTAGCCAGGTGTGGTGGCGGGCGCCTATAGTCCCAGCTACTCTGGAGGCTGAGGCAGGAGAACGGCGTGAACCCGGGAGGCGGAGCTTGCAGTGAGCCGAGATTGCACCACTGCACTCCAGCCTGGGCGACAGAGTGAGACTCTGCCTCAAAAAAAAAAAAAAAAAAGATATTCACAGATTCCAGTTACTTTTGCAATAACCAATCATACCCCAAGTCTAGGAAAGAGCCTGGCACCAAGCAGGCACTCATTAAATGTTTGTTGAGCTTTTATCGAATGCTCAAGTCTTACTACCTGGAAGTTCTTCCTTATATCCTGTCACCAATGTGTTTCTTATAGTGTGGTTAGCTAATGGTTTCCGTATTCCCTAGCAACAGTTCTTAGCTTAGGTGTCAAAACACAGTAGTTTGCCTCATCTGTTTTGAGGTACACTGCAAGTAATTTGTTACCAATAACAAATAACATTTTGTAAAATGTTTTACTCGTCCGACCCAGGTATAGGGGTGAAAGACTAATTGAACCATCTAGTAGCTGGTTCCCTCCGAGGTTTCCCTCAGGATAGCTGGCACTCTCGCAAACCCAATCTCCCACGCAGTTTTACCCGATAAAGCGAATGATTAGAGGTCTTGGGGCCAAAATGATCTCAACCTATTCTCAAACTTTAAATAGGTAAGAAGCCCGGCTTGCTGGCATGGTGATTTTGTAAAATAGAGAAAATTTGAAAGAGTGCTTATCGTAACATCTCTCTTGCTTTACTTGCATTTCAGTTTGCTTTCTTGAGTGGGAGGGCAGTGGTAGAGTCACAGCTGGATTACAGGGGATTGTGTATCACCTCTGTTAAGGCAGCGAGTGTGTTTGGAATATGTCACTTTCACCTGAGTGTCCTAAGAAGAGAAACAGTTATGAGACTTGCCATTGGAACATGTGTTCCTCCACATGGAATAGATGGCTACCTCTTTAGCTTTCTCCTTGCCAGGATAAACATTCACAGATCTGCCCAGTGGCTGGACATTCAGCACATTCCTGAAGAGCATTTTAATTGGCTGAGTGGGTCTCTGAGGACCTGCCCCCATTAGCAGGAGAGCGATTCCTGAATGATGTCCAAACAGAGCAAGTGCAGCTGTGTCCTAACAACACAGTCCTGGGGACCTCTGAACCACATCTCCCTCCGCAGCCTTGGCTATTTCAAAGAGATCATTAACAAGGTGGAATTGGGTGCCCAGAGGGTCACTGCACAATATACATTGCTACTGTCTTTTAATGGACTTTCCCCAGACATGGTGATTCTTAAACTGCAGCATCGGCAGCTGCTAAGGCCAGGGAGGGCCATGCTGTCTGCAACCAGAGCCACCCTGCCAGTCCTGTCGAAGCAGAGCTGAGCTTGGGCAGATGGATCAGGCTTGGAGAGGGGAGGAGGGGAAGTGGGTTTAAGGGGAGGAGGCATCAACAGAGAAGCCAGGCAGTAGCCCTCAGAGGACTTTGTTATTGATTTAGCGTGGGAACTGAAAGTGGCAGGCAGGCAGGTGGCAGGGGCGGGCAGGAGGGAAGACAGGTGTAGGCAATTGTGGGCAGTGATTAGCTGGGGTGGTGCAGATGTGGCTGGGGGTGTCAGCTGGTGGAGATTAGCATGGGTGCTTCTGAGAAGTATTGCATCAGATGGTGGTTTCACAGTCCAGATGTGAGAAGCCAGTGGTCCCTGCCTTCCCTGCTTCCATACCCCTTTATACTCTCCCTACTCTGCCAAGCATGCACTTGTACTTTCACCTACCCTGCCACAACCACCCCTTTCTGGGCATTCCTCTCTAGGTGAAGGGCATGGACATCAGATTGTCCTCCCCTGAGTCTTCAGTTTTTCAGCCAAGTTCTGAGATGACGACACGGACTGAACACCCTCAGACACCAGGCAAGACGAAATCTGCATAATCGGTCAGTGCAGTCATGCTTATTCCCGTGAGAAATGCACCTCGTGACAGAGGACTTTTATACCCCCGTGTCTACTTTGCCTCTCCCCCTTTTTATAACCTGCCTAAAATTTTTATTAATATAAATATTCATATGTGATTACGATATACACAAAAAGTAAATACGCCAGCATAACTCCCACCTAGATCAAGAAATAGAAAATTCCCAGCACTCCCCACACTCCACTGGGCCCCGTTCTACCCGCCAACTTCTACCTTTGTCTCCAAAAGTGATCACTTGACTTAAATCACCATAGATTCATTTTGGCTCTTTTGGAACTTTATATAAATGGACGCATACACAGTACATTATGTTGTACCTACCTCTTTTTTGCTTAATAATATGTTTGTAAGCAATAGTTGGTTCTTCTTCATTGCTGCATATTATCCTATTTCTACATAAATCACAATGATCAGTTCCAGTGTTGAGAAACATTTGAGTTGTTTCTGGATTGGGGTTCTATGAATAATGCTATTCTGATCACTTTAACAGGTCTTTTAGTGGTTATACATATGTATTTCTACATAGCTAAGAGTGAAATTGCCAGAATCATAGGGCATGGGTATATTCAACTTTAGTAGAAACGAATTGGTAGAAAGCATTTTGCAAAATGATAGTGCCATGTCTCTACTCTGATATCTCAGGACTGGCTTGCCCTCAGCCAGAGGCCCAGGAGCTGGTAGGAAACTAGCCACCATCAACAGCTGCCTGTCTCGGGCATTCTGTAGGACCCACTGTAGGACTTTTGCTCACCCATTTCAGCACTTGGTTCCTTACATTCATCCTTTTCTAAGTCTTGGCGCTTACAGACCCTCACACCCTATAACCATTTCAGGTGCTCCCTGCATTGATGACCCCTTTAGATGTGGCTTCTGTGACTTACTGACCAGTTTATCTGCTCAATTAAGCTCCCAACTACACTCCTACTCCATTCCACAAAGTTGGATGAGATGCATTCCAGTTTGGGCTCCACAGAGCTGATTCAGGCCAGTGCTAGTTTCTAGCCTCTCTGTTAGAGAGTGCAGGATGATTGGAGGTGGAGCTTGTCACATCGAGAAGAGAAGCAAGTGAACTGTAAGACAGGCAAATCAATGAAATTGGCATTTTTCTTTATTAATGGGCCTAATTTGTCCTGGGTTAATGGCTATTTACAAAGTTTCAAGATGCCTAGCCCTTTGAGTTTTATGGCATCTTGACCATACTTTCTTGATATAGTGTGTGTGTGTGTGTGTGTGTGTGTTGCTATCTCACAGCATCTGTTTATTTCCATGTCCGCAGCAAAGTGCTGGGTACACAGAAGGACTATGTGACGAAGCGCCATCACATGGCTGGTAGCCTGTGGTGAGTCACCGGACTTCTCAACTCCCACCTCACTGGGGTGGAAGGAACAGTAACCACAATGCTCCACAACTCGGGCTGCACCCGTATGATTGGAAACAATCTGTGAAGTGAGTCATATCAGTTGCAAAAACAATTAAGTCAGTGGGAAAAGAAAATCAGTAAAACTGGTTATTTGGCTTGATGAAAAGAAAGCAGTCCATTGTTTGGTTACATTTTTCACTTCCCAGCTGGTCATTGTGACACTAACTGAGGCTGGGCTTGCCTACACAAATGCTTTCAACAGTTTTGACCAGGACTATGTCTACACAGCTCTAAAACCATCTGGCACGTTACTCAATGGAGTCAAATAGTCCATCAACTATTTGCCTCAATAGTCATTTTAGGCTCATGACCATTTTATGGAGACCCTATAGAAAACTACCATAGACATTTTCAAGAAAGACAAGACTTTGAGGGCACAATCCCACTCCTATTGCATTCTGTGTCTGGGAACTCAGTGACTTCAGGTAGTTCTAGGTAATATCTGCTATTGGGAGTGGGAGGCAGACAGGGGTTAGGTGGAGTTCAGAGCTGTGAAATGCAGAGATGATTCCCCCAAGTCATGCTGACTGAACGCTTTACTTTCATCCTAGATTGTGGAGTGAACGACCCCGAAGAAACAGACTTCTAATTCTAGCCTTTTGGAGATTATTAACCCAACTCCCAGATTTTAGAGATGAGGAAAGGGAGGCCCAGGGAGGTGAGGATACATGTCCAGGATCACAGAGGTGAAAAGTGAGTTTGCTTGGCTAAGTTCAACTGTACCTACTTGTCTCCAGAGACTGCTCAGGAACTAGAACACCCTGATACAACATAGGCACCTGTGATGGAGATATTCCCTCAAAAGTGGAATGGGGCATGAAGGAGAATTGTCTCCTAAAAGCTGGGAAGTTTCTCCTAATCCTTTTTAGGGTACCTTCCCTGTATCCCAACTGCTCTTCAACTGCCGGAACTCATGTCAGTCTCCAAAGAACAGTGTCCAAATGTGTATGATGCCACATTGGCTGAAGTGTGCTCTAATTGTGCAGATATTCCCATAAATGCTATTTTATTAAGCTGAGCTACACTAAATCTGTCATCTCCATAAGTAATACCACAGCAAATCTGTAGGTAAGTTCAGAACACTGCAGTGAGCCATGCTGGGCTATTAGTTTCAATTCAGCGCTGTTTCCTGTAAGTTACAGCATCTCAGGGGCACAACTTAGGCACTGAGTAATAAGATTTGGTTCCTTCCAGATGCCCTCAGCTCCCCAAAACAACAGAAATGGTCAAAGACAGAGGCAAGAAGACCAGAGAACCCTAAATGTTTACTGTCTCTAAAGTGTTTGGAAACAGCTTGGACCAGTGTAGAGTGCTGGAACAGAGAATCAAGAGCATCAGGTTCGATTCCCACCCTTACGAACTGCTCAGCCTATGAAAATTACTTTGTGTTTCAGGCCTCACTCTTGTCATCTTTAAAATGGCAACACATATACACACCCCTCCGCAGTAAATACAGAGGTTCTGCAAGCCAGGACGTTAAGTACTTAGGATGAAAATGATGACGATTAAGTCTATTCTATCACTTGATCCGATTCTCTCTGACTGTTCTGCAGGGGGTAATAACATGGCCTGCAGATGATCCATAATCCACCATCTTCTGGTGAAAAGAGAGGAAAGGGGTGTGTGTGTGTGTGTGTGTGTGTGTGTACACACACACAAACACAATTTTATATATGCACATTAACATTAATGTATATACATTTTATATACACATCAGTGTTAATATATATAAAATGTATATATACATTTTATGTATATAATGTATGTACCTGATATTATATACATATACATCTATATATAATGTATATACATTATACACACACACACACATTAACTCCCTTTCCTGTTTTATCACCAGAAGATGGTGGATTTTATATATATATGTGTGTGTATATATATTATATATATGCATTATATAATATATAATGTCTCTACGTACATATAATGTGTATATATATGCATTATATATAATGTGTGTGTATGTGTCTGCCCCCAAAGAAATTTAAAATAAGTTGATATCTAAACACATTGTTGATGAACAAGGGTGACTAATTATCTACTTGCAGTAGAAAAGCCAGACTATTGTAAATGTCTTAGCACTTCACAGTATATTAGGAATGTTCTAGAGCGAGCTGGCAATGTTTAAATCAGATTCAGTCCCACATATTGCACTCCAAAATTGAACATGGGCCACCATTTCTGGGACAAAGCTGACAGCGTTCAGAGGAGGCTGCCTCTGAAGGGATAAAATTGGGAGGCATTTGCTTTAACACACAAGCTTTAATTAGTTGTTACTCATTAGAGGAAATCACATTTCATAGCTTCTAAGAAATAAGGTAAACTTTTTCAAAATTTGATTCCATATCCAGGGGAATCTCTCTACACAGCCTTTTCATTTAATCATTGTAAAGTCTTCTCTTGCTTTTGTTTGTTTATTAACTTGAGAGGAAAACTGAGTTTGGAAAAGGATGTTGGAGGGACACAAGTCACAAGAAAGGTTTTCTAGACCCAGGGAAAATATGCTTGAAGAAAAATGTCTCCAACGAGCGTCAGCAGATATTAAATTACAGACATGTGCATGGTTTGTCCAGATTGGTTAGAGCATGTTTCTTTGCAGCAATAAAAAACAAGAGACATTAACAAGCCAATGATGTTACATGGAATTAAGTAGCATTCAAACGATGAAAGAGAAAATTAAGGAGCTAACCTTCCACTGCCCAGGCAGTTTGCATGGTCAGTAACAATGCAAGGCTTTATTTCCACCATCCATACCTTCAACAGGAGAAAGTAACTCTGGTGGCCCATGACCATCATATGCCCTTGGTCAGCTGTCCTGTCAGGACCTACCTGATGGCCTTGGGTGACTTAAATGGCCAGCTAAATGCAATATGTTTTGACTGTGAATCTTGCCTCTCATGGCGGTTCCCTGTCACCTCCCTGACGCAGGCAATGCCATATATCACTGCTGTTCTGCAGGCGCGCCACCCAGATAGCGTCTGAAAGATTGTAAACAGGATGATTCACAAACTGGTGGCAGCAGCTAAAAGCAGTGCAGTTCGCGACCCTCAGCACACGCCAAGATTCTAAATGGGATGGTGCAACAACAAAGCAGCCTGAAGATTCTAAAACACAATGGTGTCAGCAGGACATTCATAGGGTGCTGTAACCTGTAACTGACAAGCATACCCATCATTGTTTCTCCTGGGGCATGCAGCATCCTTGTGCTCCACTGGGCCTCCTGTTGCATTGCTGCTATTTATTTGCATCTACAAGCAGGGGAGCAAGTATGCTGCGGAAATAGCCCCAGAGAGGTGTCTGATTCCCATAGGCCCTAGCAGGCAGCTACAACTGAATGATTTCCAATATCAGTTACTGAAAATTCTGACCATGATATGCAGACCATCGCAGATCTTAATGACAATAATATCATCTCACATTTTGATGGCGTTTAACAGTTTACAAAGTGCTTTCACATACATTATCACATTTAATCCCAGTGAGGTCGATAGTCTTCTCCATTTTATTGGCAGCTTGGTGTATTGGAAAGAGCTCTGGAGTCAGACAGACTTAAGTTCAAATTCTGGCTCTGACGACCAAACCATGGTCAATTTGCTTCATTTCTCTCCCTTTTCTTACCTATAGGATGAGGAATCGTTTCTATTTCTGAGGTTTGTGGTGAAAAATAACATATGTAAAGACATACAATATAGGGCATGATGCATAGAAGTACTCAACAATCATTAGCTTCTATCTACTTATAGAGGAAGAAAATGAAGCTTAAGAGGTTAGGGGAGTTGCTCAAAGTAATAGCTAGTAAATGGCAGAACTGAGACTTCATTTATTTTACAAATATTATTGAACACTTACTATATGCTGGTGCCTTGGGCATAGGAAAGTGGATGAGTCATAATTCTAGTTTTTGAGATGTTCACAGTAGAGCAGTGGAATCTGAAATGCAAATAATCAATTATAATTGAGCATGATCTGAGAGGCAAAAAGTACTTAGGGAATGTCCTAAAGCCATGGATGCATCCTACATTATCAACACAGGAGATAAGTCTGAGGAAGAGGAACCTTCCAGGAGGCAGCAGTAGAGTTACACCTGAAATAGAATGTTGGCAGGTGGATGAGGGTGAGCAAGGAGAGGAGCATTCAAGCGAAGACAACAGTGTGTGCATTCACCAAGAGGGTCAAAGGAGCCTGGCATGTCCACTGCAGCACAGAAGAGAACCTGAGCAGACAGGAGAGAGAGGAGCGGGGAGGAGGCAAGGAAGCAGCAGTGAGAAGAATGAAGGGGCTTGCAGGTAATGCTGAGAAGTATGCATCTTTGTCAGTCCACACTGGCACAAACTCTGTGATGATTTACAGAGAGAGCCAACCTGGTCAGATTTGCATTTTTGAAATTGTGGCAGCAATGTGAAATACTGACTGGAAGAGGAGATAATGGAGGCAGTAGTTCAATGAGAGATAATTAGGCTGTGAACTAAGAAAGTGGCAGAGCGGACAATTTCGAGAGGTATAGCAGAGGCAGAATTGACAGGATCTGGCAATCGATCGGATATCAAGGCAGGAGAGACAGAGAGGACTCTAGGAGGACTCCCAGGCTATTACCTTTGGTGGCTGGGTGAAAGAAGGTATCCCCCACTGGCATAGAAGGAGAGGATATTTGAAGAGATAACAATAAATTCATGTGGACATGCTGACTCTGAGAGATTCATGGATATCAAGAAGGAGGTGTTCAGTAGACAGCTAAAAATGAGTCTGGAGTTTGGGAGAGGACTCACGATTAGGTGCGTTGATCTAGGGATCAATGGTTTTTAGACAATGGTTGAAGCTGTTTTTTTTATGTCAAGAGGACACAGCAAGAAGAAAAGTGGGTCCTGGAGAACTCTAGGGAATATCAATGTTTAGGTGCTAGAATGAGGATTGTTAGAGAGATGGAACTGCCAGGAGAAAGGGAGAGCTCAGAGGCCAGGGAAGGCAAGCGTTTTGTGATGATGAAAGTACAGGAAAGTATAAAATTCCACCAAAGGATCAAAGAAGATGAGAACTGAGATATTCCTGTGGTTTGGGTAATGATAAGATCACTTTGGCAACTTCAGTTTTATAAAAAGAGGTTAAAAAAATAGGCTTTTTTTTTTCTATGACCCAATATAAGAAAAATATTTTAGTACAGGCATGATGACTCACACCTGTAATCCCAACATTTTGGGAGGCCTAGGTGGGTGGATCACCTGAGGACAGGAGTTTGAGACCAGCCTGGCCAACATGGTGAAACCCTGTTTCTACTAATAATACAAAAAAATTAGCCGGGCATGGTGGCATGTGCCTGTAGTCCCAGCTACTTGGGAGGCTGAGGCAGGAGAATCGCTTGAACCTGGGAGGCAGAGGTTGCAGTGAACTGAGATCGCACCACTTCACTCCAGCCTAGGCAACAGAGTGAGACTCCATCAAAGAAAGAAAAGAGAAGAAAGAAAAGAAAAGAAAAGAAAAGAAAAGAAAAGAAAAGAAAAGAAAAGAAGAAAGAAAGAAAGAAAGAAAGAAAGAAAGAAAGAAAGAAAAGAAAGAGAAAGAGGGAAGGAAGGAAGGAAAGAAGAAAGAAAGGAGGGAGAGAGGGAAGGAAAAGAAAGGAAGGAAGGAAGGAAAGAAAGGAAGGAAGAAAGGAAAGAAGAAAGAAGACAGAGAAAGAAAGAAAGAAAGAAAGGAAGGAAGGAAAAATATTTTACATTGTGACCTGAGAAACAAGTTTCAAGAAACAATACTTACACTCTGACATGTCATACTCATCTATTCTATTCTATTCTATTCTATTCTATTCTATTCTATTCTATTCTATTCTATTCTATTTCATTCCATTCCATTCTATTCAAATGCCGCTTGGCCCTCACTCAATTGATTTTATGACCAACTAGTGAGTTTCAACCTGTAGTTTGAAAAAACAGTGGTTTAGACAAATACAGTTTTCTCACACAAAAATTATATGGAGCAAAGTGTGGGATAGAAGAAAGAACACTGGATTTTGAGTGAAGACATCTGATTTTCAGCATGACTCATTTACTTACTGACTGTGTGACCTTAGATGTGCCCATTAACCTTTTGCGTGTCTCTTCTATTACCTGTAAAATTCAGATAATATATCAGCTGCAAAAGGATCTTCTGGGGATCAAATGCGATAAAATGCATGAATGCAAAAAGCATATGCCTAAAATAGTCCTGGTCAAACTAAAATTACCATAATCAAAGAAAGAGCAGAATGGTGCATGGTGTATCCCAGTTGGCTCTGGGTCTGTCATCTGAATCCTGGAGCCACATCTCTCCAGAACATACTGAGAACCAGAAACGGGATCAAAATAATTTAACCAATCAAAACAGGTATTGCTGCTATATTTATAAAATTCACAAAATTTACTGACACAGAAGCCTGTGTGAAATCCCCTCAGAATCATTGTAGTCTTGTTCTAATACTATTGTAGCCATGTTGATTTTCTGATCTGTATCTGTGGACCTGTATTAGAAGGACATTCAATAAAATCCTATTGGAACAGGAGCTGATAGAGGCAAGTATTTTCACCACACACAGTGTGAAATGACAGCAAACAGACTGCAGGGAAACAGCAAGATGAAATCATTTAATATAGGCAATATGTAAACTTCAGCAGGCCCTGGTGGTATC